CCCCAAAACCCCAAAACCCCAAAACCCCAAAACCCCAATGACTGATGTAAATATTGACAATTAAATACAGAAATCATTAGGAATACCTCTAAATATTAATTTGGTAGATGTCAGAAGATCTCATACTCTCCGTCTCATCACTGTAGTAATCATCTGCCTCTTGGTCTTTCAGCTCTAATTTTTTCATGGTGTTATCGTTTAGTCCGAATCATGGAATGATTATTATTTCATTGTAAAATAAAGTTCCAAATAGAAGAATTATGTAGCCAGCTAATCGGACGTAATCAATGTCTACACCTCCATTTGAATGATAAAGGAGAAAGAAGATCCAAAATGGAATTATCTTTAGGCTCAAAATTGAAGCGCGATTGTTTCCACCTGTATATTTCATTATTGTCACTCCTACAATATTGGAGACAGTGCTGAGGATGATCATTCCAATAACAGATCAGATTATGAGAACACTACTTCCCATTTGTTTGAACGCGAAAATAGAATCTGCTAGCTTATTGTTCGCTCAGAAGCGTGCATTTCAAGAGATAAAGTAAGCTCCTGGAAGGATCAATATTGCAAAGACAACTCCCCAGATTCCTTCCCATCCAACCATCCTTGCTGGTGATAAGAAATAGTTTTCCAATAAACGCTCTTCAAGATTAAACTGAATTGATATTAGAATTATTGAACCAAGGACCATCGATGTTCCTAATAAAATTTCTGTTGCTTTACCGCTCTGCTCAATATACAATGGAATAGCTACCATCCAAATTCCAACAAGAATGAAAAGAATGCCTAAGAAATGGTGGCGATATTGATTCTTTTTCAAAATCAGCCTGGAAATCACTGCTATCAAGATTGTGATATTCCCATGAATCGCTAGAGCAAGCTCAAATGATAGAAATGACTGTTCTGAGCTTTCCTTTAAAGTTTCATTAAGAGATATATCTGTATCTGATTCAATTGTAAAAGTAGATCTTAGTAACTTATGATCCTGATTTTGGGCAACTCCTCCGACGAATGAGAACGATAAAGCAAAAGCAAATGAAGCACAAATATTCAAAAACTTTGGGAGGATCAACATAGCCGGATTTATATAGGTACTTCTTCCTGAGGTCCTCGCTCTTACCACTTTTGGATGAAGCTGATAGCTTCCATATCTCTTCCTTGCTCTACGTATTTCATACATATAAATAAATATTCACAGTGCATCCCCGATAGTCATCAACAAGGGAATAAAGAAAGGATGGCTAAAATTCTCCCCTCTGGCTTCAGTCTCATTAACCAACCTCCACAATATCACAAGCCCCCCACTCGCTACCACAAGCACACCCATAAACCCCCAAATAATCATCTGAAATTTCAAAGAATGCTGCATTTTCTTCCTTATTCCAGAACTAAAATATTATATTATTCCCAAAAACTCTCTAAAAATACGGGGTTTTGGGGTTTTGGGGTTTTGGGGTTTTGGGG